TTGTTTATCTGTCTCTGTGTGTCTGTGTGTCTGTCTGTCTGTCTGTCTGTCTCTGTGTGTCTGTGTCTCTGTCTGTCTGTGTCTCTTGTCTGTCTGTCTCTGTGTGTCTGTCTCATTAAGTGTCCTATTTGTGTTGACAAACAATTTGTTGATCATATTAGCATCTTTCAGACTTTGATTCAAAAGTTTTTGCTTGTAATTCACCACTTCTGTTTCAGTCTTCTTGCCTGCTGCTGCTGAAATTTAAACAGATTTGTTTTTGACATCCTGACTGATTATTTATTTATTTGTCTATTTATGCATTTATTTTTTAAGGATTCTGCAGCGGCAGGTTTCAAAGGAGGTGATCGAAGGAGGATCAGTTCACGTCTGGCTGGACCAGACAAGTAAGACCCAAACATGGGGCTGGGGTGGGTGGGTGGTTTGGTGGGGGTGTCATATTTTAAACAGTGTTACATTGATCATTTCTATGTTTCACATTCTGCACATGCTTTACACATTTTACAAAAACACAAAGAGGAACTGAAGCAAAATACAATCCTGGATAAAATTTAGTCAATTTTAGTCTTTTTATCGTCATGACTCAGAGAATGTGAAGTTTGCTGTTTGTTTGTTTTCCAGATCGACAAATTGGTCTGATGCTACAGAAGCAAATTCACCAGGCTTTTGAGGTACAGATGTTCCTCAGAATACAAGAAGTTAAAAATAGAGAACAACAACAGCCTAACTTTTTAAAACTATCTAAATAATTTTATTGTGCCCTTGCAAAACAAGGGTCCCTTTGCTTGAAAAGCATTTCATCTGAATTGTTTTCTGTCTGCAGGCTTTTGTGGATCATAAAATGGGCAGCATGTCATACATGGCCGATCTGCCAATAAAGGTAGGGGATCAAGGAAACCTGCAGAATATACTGAAGATTTATAAACATGAATGTTTGTGTGAATAGCATCAAATAGTTACAGTAGAAAGGTCAAAGTCAAGGTTTTTTTAATGAAATTAAAAAGTATGTACACAGGTGTAGTGAACTAGGCCTCAGGTCGAATCTGGCCTTGAGGGGCCTGCCTGGAACAAGAACTGTATTTCATTGATTTGAGTCCAGAAACACAAGATCAAGTCCATCCATAAGACTTTCTAAGTGTCCTGCACTGATCAATTGAAAGAACACTCTCTTTTTCTATTATCATTACTATTTTACAAATGTTTTGATAATCAAATTGTTTAGTTCAAACCATTTTTAAATGTTGAAGTGAACTAATCATTTTTAAATCCACTGTGAAACAGTATTAGTGATTTTAATCCTCATTCAAAGTAGAAATCAGGTTAATGATGCATTGTCTGATTTTCTGTCTTCAATGAGCAAGTTGTGTAAGTTGGTCAAAGGTCAAGTTTCGGTCAACTGCAAGTTTACTGAAAAAGAAATGTCATGTTTAACTTTTACAGAAAGATACTAGAGAATTGACTCCACAAAGTCTGAGTTCTTCATAATATCTTCTGTCTGTTCTTAAACAATCTAATCTTTTTCCTTGACTTTTTAATAACACCTTACATCACAAAAACACACCTCTGTTGGTCCAATCGACCAATCAGAAAGTTCTCAAATGAACCGGAAGTGAGCTCTTTTAAAAGGTGCAACACTTCCTAGTTCACGGTAGTTCTGCAAGAGGTTCCAGCTCCAGTCGAGTTCTGGAGAGCTCAGTAGTTCGGAGAAGTTCTCGGCAATTCTAGGAAGAACGCTGAGGAGAACGCTGAGAAAATGCTGTGAGTTGGTTCCGAGAGGGCAGCAGAGTTCAGAATGCTGGAATGCAGAATGCTCAGGACATCTGCGACTAAGCTGAACAAGAGAAGTTCAGAGGAATTATGAAGTCTGTTCTAGGACGATCTCACGACTCCTGAGGTTTAGCTGTTCTTACGGAGACGCTGGAAGAGTTGAAAGGAAAGCTCTACACCAACGCTGAAACTATCATCTGCAAAGGTAAAGAGTAGATCTCAACCAAAGTGTACCGTTGGGTTAAGCTGGTCCAAAGGAGCGTGTTGTTCTGGTTAAAACAGACAAATTCCCTCACCCATCTCTCTCAACTTAAACTTCATTTCCATCTTTAAAACCCTTCTATCTGCTAGAAATCATTCCAGATATTTTTAGAAGTGTCTGTTGTACAGCTGGAAGCAAGGGAAACAATCGCCGTATTGTTTCCTCCTTGTAAAACTAGCCTAAATAAGCTGTTGTTATTTTCAATTTTTGCCAATTAATGTAAATGTGTGATGTGTTAAACTTGATTCTGTTAATAAATGACCCACTGTCGTTGATGAGTCAAAGATAATTAACGTCTCCGTCCACATTTTATTAAATTCAATGCACGTCATTATTCAGTCCAGAAAAATGAAAGAATCCGTTTAATTTATGAATATATATCAGAATATGTTCATCTACATCTGGTGGCCCGTGACAGGTTCATAAAATGGACTGTATTCGTGTGACAATTGAATTATCATGTTGGCATGAAAAAAGTGCAGATTCTGCGGTGTGAAACGCAGCTTTTGAGCTGCGACGCTTGGAGAAAATACAGCTATGTTTTGCAGCTAGTGATGTTTTGAAAGCTGAAATTGAGAGTCAATGTGTCTTTTTGAAAGCTGAATTTGTACATCTGTTGTGTGTGACAAAGTTGATGAGCTGTGGAAACGTTATTCTGTTTACTGTGGTCCAGACGTGACTCTGGTCCGGCTCGGTTCTGATAAGTTTGAACGAGTTGTTTTAAATGGTTGGAAAGACGTTTTGAGACCGGAGCGCCGACTCCGTGAAGCTTTGAGAGTTGATTCGTTACATTTTTAACAGAAAATGGTACATTTTGACAGTTTAAAAGACGAAAAGTTGAACGGAATATTCATGCTAAATGCTACACGCTAGCTGGAAAAACGATCCGTGATTGGTTGAAAACGGCCGTGTGGAACGCTGTGATACGCTGAGAAATGAGTGACGTGTCTGCGTCACTTCCTCTGAGTCAGCGATATAGAACCCACCCCCGTTGCTGCTCTGTCATTGGTAGATTCAGTCACGTGACTCGGAAATGAAGCTCGTCTTCATAGGGAATTTCAATCTGCTTTTTAAAGTTGAAAAACGCTTTAAAGTTGGATTCTGATCCGCTGCTCCGTTTCTTTGAAGCCTAATCGCTGAAACTTTGCCATGTTTGAGTTTGAAATCCGTCATTAAATGGTGTTTTTGGACCACGCTAGCCGATGCTAATTTTAAGCTAACAGCTAACGACCGGATGTCACCGGATGCCACAGGAAGTCATCCCGACTCCTACTGGACATCACTAACAGTGTCTGGGTTAAAATAAAATAAGGTTATACTGCCCCCTCCTGTGGAAACTTGATATCACAGTTTCACTTCGTTTTTAGGTTAGTTTGGGTGAAATTATACGTGTTTATCCTAATGCTACGGGCATTTTTGAGTTAATAAACGTTCTTCAAGCTGAATTATTACTGTTATCTTGCATTTAAAAAGTGATTAAGGTATTTATGCGAGAAAGGCATTTACCAAAACATTTTTTTTATTCACTGGTAATTCCTCTGATGGAGGTGCAAAATAAAATATTAGAAACTTTTTAAAAGATACAGTTCAGATATTCACAGAGTTGATAAGTTTACTCATTTGCTGAAAAGATAATACACTTTTAATTGCTAGATCACTAAATAAGAGTAAATATATCAGAAAAAGGAAACTTTTATGATTTGTTTTTACTACCTGAAACACTACATCTTCCTATTTAATTTTTAATTAGAAGATAATGGCAGGAGAAGAGGAGTATAATAGTTTTCCTGAAGGGGAGACTGATTATTCCTCATCATCATTTTTCTTTCTCTTTTCACCCACCTGGTTTAATGAGTAACTGTTAAAATAGCGAATTTCTGGAATAAAACGGCTTAAGAAAGCGTTTTAAAAACTGAAGTTGCTTTGAACTTTTAGAAAAATTGCAGGTTTATTTCATGTTAAGTGCTTTAGAGTAAATATCACTAAGAAGCTGGTTCTTGTATCTGTTAAAAATAAGCACATTAAAAAGTAACACTGCAGAGAAGCATTTACTTGAATATTCATGAATTGGGGTAAAACCTACGAATAGGTGCCCACATTTGAATAAGTTGACTTATAACAGTACTTTTGTGTAAACCCAGAGCTTAAAAAGTGTGTGAAACTCACTGCTCACTTGAATACAAATATTTACCTGTTGAAATATCTGAAGCTGGCAACTGTTTTGACCAGATAAAGTGCTGAACAGTGAATGACCATGGCTGATGGAACAGAAAAGAATGTTGAGACCAAAATGGAATGGTTAGAGGATGCGTTAGCACTGCTGACGGAATCTTTACATCCATATGGTAAACAGGTGGAGAGCATGAACCCAAAAGAGTTATTGGACAATCTGATGGAGGTTGCAGAGAGTGTGACCTCTACAGAAATTACAAGGTCAAGCTATGAAAAGCTGGCTAAAATGGCAATCTTGCTGAAAGAATCATTCTATACAGTGGTTGAGAAAGCTGATGACCTTGCAATAAGGTTAAACAGTGAAAAAGAGGTGGTTCAGGAAATTGAAGAACACTTCCTTCAATTTAAAAGTGAACACGAAGTCCTCACAAAAAAACATTCTGAACAGATGTTTCAATCACAGCAAGATGCACGTGCAGAAATTGATTCACTGAACAGCAAAATACAGTTACTTAATGCATCACTATCTGAAGCCAGGGATGCTAAAGAGCTGTTGTCCAGAGAATACTTTGCATTAAGACGGGATCACGTTGTGACAGTGTCACAAGTTTCCCGCTGCAAAGCTGAGATAGATGGGCTTAAAGCACAACTTGACAAATGCAGACTGGGAAAAGAGGCATTACTCCAACATTATATGCGTTTACAAAGTGAATGTCAAACATCACAGGAACGCTTAAAAGCATGTGAGGAGAAACTAGCCGCGGCAATATATAAAAGTTCTGACATGGGGCGAGCCTGTCTGGAACTCAAAAAAGACAAAGGTCAGAGTCCGGGTCATCCGCCAACACCTCAGAAAGATGTTGTTGCACCTCCTGCTCTTAATCCCATTCTGCCACCTCCACATATGGGTAGAGAAACACCTCCACATGTGTGTAGAGAAACACCTCCACCCTCACCTAAAGTGGTAGGAACAGACCTGAACAGGTCTCCTCCACCAAACATGCAACAGAGTGCATGGAAACTCCCTCTTTCAATAGATGTTCTGCTGAAACTCTCAAAATATGTACAACGCTTTGTACCGGGACCAATGGGTTCAACTGGAACCAAAGCGTACCTCAAAGACATTGAATTCAGATTGAATGGATATCCTAATGCTACGGTTGAGGATAAGATCAGTCTGATAAGGCTCACTTCGGACAGAGAGGTGTTCACCTTCATCGAGCGTCTACCTGATGCAACGAGAAAGGATTACAACCTTCTGTGTGAAGCTTTGATCAGAGAGTACGACCCCTGCACGGGACCTGCTGGTTTCCCAGCCGCTGACAAGGTCACGCAGGGCAAGAATGAACATCCAAAAGTTTATTACAAAAGAATCTTCCAAGCTTATTTTGGTTACAGAAATGAAACCGGAATGGAGGAAGAAGAAGGTTTTAAATTTGTTTTCAGCAAAAATCTCCACACTGACATACGCATGTCAGTACAAATGATGGCAAATTTCAGAGAAAAATCCATCAATGAGATTAAACAGTGTGCTGTGAATGTGTTTGAGGCATGTTCTCATGCTAAGACGCCCATAGAGGTGTTTCCTGGTATAAAGGTTAAACCCCACTCCCTAGAAATGGAAGGATGGCGTGCATTGACCACTCCTCCTAAAACAGGCGAGAAAAAGCAGTATTTTCAAACTAACAAACCACGTAATGAAGGTGCACGCTGGGACACAAAAGCTCCTCTTTCAGAGGATGAACGTGATTATCGTAAATGGGGTGTGCGTAGGACGCAAAGATATGGGATCCAAGAGGACCCATATTATCAGGGGAAGTCCGAAAAGGAACTCCCAAAAGACGTACCTAACCCTCCCCCACCTCGGACGAAACGAACCGAGGCGATAAGATCACAAAGGTTCCAGAAACAAGGCCCTACACCTCTGAGCTCGGAAGAGACAGAGAAAATATGCAGGTTTTTGGAAACTTTGAAAAACGCTGAAATGGGAATCCAACCTGGAGCACTGTGTAGTGATGTGATCGCTACTAAATCTGAAGGCGCGAATGACAACATTACAGATGTCGGTGGAACACACCAAGACATTGCTGTCGTTGCCTCCAACAACCCCTCATCGGACGAAGGGGGGGTAAACTCACACACAAACGATGATGAGTCATCGCCAGCTGAACACTCAGAACCTGATTTTCATGATTTTGAACTAGGCATTC